TCCAATCCCATTGTTTAGACTTTTGACAATAATTGTCATCATCATCATCATCGTCTCATCCAAATGGAATGATTGGTCCATCTGTTCTAGGTGGATGAGTAGATTTGACATAATAATCAAATTTATCGGAGGGTTCTCCAAGTAATTCTATAAAAGGTTCCTTATTTTCAAATGGGGTAATTAGTACAAAACGTCCCTACCTTTCAAGTGTATTGTGGAAAACATTTCTATCTTTCATTTTTTGGCACAAAACGTCCCTACCTTTCACTTTTTTGGCGCTGAACGTCATTTTCATCAATTTTTGATGATTTTACCCTCCATTCAAATAAAACAAAAAGAAAGGAAAGGAAAAAAACAAAAAATTAATTGCAACCATATTGCCAAAATTTCTAAAAATTGCAAATAGTAACTTGATAATTACCATATTAAATAAATTGAAAAAAAAATCAAAAAATTAAGAAAAAATTTTTAAAAATGGGCTGTCTTCTTCACCACACCACACCCTACCCCACCATACAAAATCTCTCTCCACAGCAAATCCTCCAAATCCGAAAAGGTTGAGATTGTTAAAACAAATCCATTTTTGTTACCTAATCGTCGACCTTTTGGGATCCCTTAATCAAACCAACTCGAGTCTCATTGAGAAAGGCAGCTAAAACTATCTACTCTGGGCAGCCGATGTGCTTAACTTCACCTCACAGCGAGACAATCATAAAATCATCAAACAAAAAACTAGATTCTGCCTGTAGTGACCAAACTTACACCGCTTTTTATAGATTTTTTTTCATTTTTAGAGTTGATGTTATGCAATTTTACACTTCGTGCTTGTCATATTCGTCGTCTACTCTCGACTCTACAAATGTTGCCCTACATTCGCTATGAAATTGCTGCTAATAATCTATTTTCCCGTTTCAGAATTAGCTATCTGGAAATTTTCAAAGTAGTGGAGCTAACTTGTGGTAAGCATCAAGAAGAATTGGTATCCTCACCGTCCCTTGAAGAAATCGTACATTACGACTTGTGGGTGCGTGACTATGCCGCCAATTTGCAGCCCTCGACTGGTTTAAGTCCTGCTCTTGTATGAGCTGTTGTGTAGAGAGATTTTGTATGGTGGGGTGGGGTGTCCTGGGGAAGACAACCAAATTTTTTAATTTTTTTCTTAATTTTTTCAATTTATTTAATATAGTAATTATGAAGTTACCATTTGCAATTTTTAGAAAAATTGGGAATGTGGTTGCAATTAGTTTTTTATTTTTTTCCTTTCCTTTCTTTTTGTTTTATTTGAATGGAGGGTAAAATTGTCAAAAATTGATGAAAATGACGTTTAGCGCCAAAAAAGTGGAAGGTAGGGACGTTTTGTGGCTAAAAATGAAAAGTATGGATGTTTTCCACAATACACTTGAAAGGTAGGAACGCTTTGTGCCAATTACCCTTTCAAATGCCCTGTGAAATCTTTGTTAAGTTTTCCGCAATCTTCTTTTCCTTGTAGCAGTAGGCTCATCATTAAATTCAATGCTCAAACAATTGCTGCAAGAACAGACATTCCAGAAATATTGGCTAGAATCATCAATTCTAGCATATATAGGTTTTCCATCTGAAACAAAGGCATAAATAAGGATATTTTCTATGAATGTGAAATGGTTTGGAAAACGCTGTGATCATTTTGAAGTTTGGTCCTTTTTAAAATAGATCTCAACAGATCTATTAGATTTCTTTTCCAAAAATAGTGTTTGAGTGGATTGCATAGGGGCAGATTCTTTGGCTGATTTATGTGACTGTTCGTAACTTGTAATCCAGGACTCAAAAATAAGTTTAGCAAATTCAGCCTTGGGATTTGTCTTGGAACATAGGTGCAGCAAGGAACATGTTCAGTGTCCATTTGAAGAAGTAGAGCATCTTCTGTCCCTTGGAGGATAGCGAAATCTAAGAATGATTTTGGATTTTGTAAAGTATCTAGTAATGAAGAGTCAGTGCATATATGACTTAAGATAGTACAAATTTGGACTTTTAAAGCATAAAGGATTTGCGGATCTGAAATAGGCATGTTGAAGTTTGGAATTTGAAAACATGGTTATAAGGACAATTCCTGCATTTAGAATGGTTGTGTAGTTCCTATGCACGCATGTTGGCATTTTGCAAATCTTGTGTCAAGTTAGGGGCAATTTTTGAATTTGTAATCGAAATTAATGATTTTATTTTGATTGAATTAAAAAAAAAGAAGTAAAATTTTAATCACTTTTAATTTTACATGAACAGAGGAATTATCTCTAGTTATTTTCGATTGCTCAACTCTTGGAATTAATAATATCACAATAAGACCATTGGTAGGTTCTTGATTTTTTGGACGAGCATTGGTTATTTATATTCATTTTCTTTATCTTTGCGTCGTTGATACTCCAGTTAAAATTATACTTAACTTATGTACATACTAAACAAAATATATATTTTTATCTCTCCTTTTCAAATAAATATTTTTCAATAAAATAATATTACACATAAATCCAAAAACATTATTTTTTTTTAATCATACATTCTCTATCAATTTACTATTTTAAAATATAATCTTAACAAAAAAAAATGAAACTTATACAAACGCTAAACAAATTTTGTTAAAAATGAGGTCGAAAAACTGACTTTCCATGTAGCACGTCGCAAGCGCCCCCTATTGGAGGGGTTTTGGATACCTTTATGTACATGATTATGTATCCCAAAAATAATTATAATCTTTATATCAGACATTCTTGTATAACAATTGTTACAATTAAAGTGAGTAAGGGAAAAGAATATGGAACATATTTATCTATTTCCATTTATTTCTTTTTTCGTAAGTTAAAATTCAATATTCGAAAAAACTGTATTAGTCAAACTTGCTTTTATACTGCACCCAGTCAAGTTGGTAAAAAGTTACAATATTCTATATGGGGTAATTGGAGCAAAACATACCTACCTTTCATACTTATTATGGAAAATGTCTATACCTTTCATTGTTTGACATTTTTGCCCTTATTTCCTGTGCTAAATATCACTTTTACCATTTTGACATAAAATGACCAAAACACCCTTCTATTTAAAAAAAAAAGAAAATAAAAAAAAATACAACTATAAGTCCAAACTTTTCATATGTGCAAATCAGCCCAAAATTGAAAAAAAAAAAATAAATTATAAATGAGATTTCAAATTAAATTTAAAAATATATTTTTTAAACTTATTTAGAGCTTATTTGCATAAATTCTTTAAGAATAGATTTATTTTTTATTTTTTGAAAATATGTAGTTAAAAGGTAAAAATGAGACTACGTATAAAATTATTTTATTAAAAGAATATACATTAAAATCGAGTTTGAAAAAAAAGAGAGTTTTAAATAAAAAATGGGCTTAGTCAATGAGTTACATTCATATACTTTAAATTTTAGAACTACATGTTTTGATAGAAGATTTAACATGTATCAATAAAATTGATGTATAATTGAAATGTCGTGGATTCATAAAATATTTTTTTAGAATCACATTTGAGCGGTTAAAACTTGACACAAAATTTTAGCAAATTTTATCAAATATGCATTTTTTTTTTTTAGCTCTATCGTAAAATTTTTACTATTTATAATAAAAAAAATAAAATAAAGTTAGAGTTAAAAGGGAACAATTTGGAACATTTGAGCTGAATGCCCTTTTTCCCCTCACTGAACTGCACTTCTATTCTTAAAGACTTGTAATTATTTAACTATATGGATACAACAACGACGGAAAAAATATTTTAGGAGCAATTTGAAATATCAATTGAACTTTAGTGACCAAAATTGGTACTTTTATTCTTTATCTCTAACAGTAAAATAATTCTACTTAGCAAACCTAAAGCTGATTTACAGCATATCCTCTAATATTATTTTAATTTTAACTTGTAAGAGGTGAAAAAAATCTGAAATCGCCTTCTCGAAGAAGCAACAGTGGCTGTTGAAATCTCTGTTTTTCTCTCACATTTTTCAATCTACGTTTATCGACTTCTGATTAGTAGCAGCAGGGATTGTGATACCGAGCCATTGCCCTATTCAGAATTTGATCTTTGTCTTCTTCTTTTCTCTGAATCTTTTTGTTTGTTTTCTATTTTTTTAATTGTTCGTATTGGAGAGCAGATAATCGGTTGTTTTATACGGCATCGTTCATCACGGCGGTATTTATGTAGGAAAACTCGAAATTATCCTTTTGATGTATCTGATTATGTCAAAGTTCGTTTCTTTTTGTGAGTTCTGAGTGGGTGAAGAGATGGGACTGCAATCTTCTGGTAAATTCATTGAATTTTCCGGAGGATTCTACCATCTCTGCTAGCGGCAATCCAATTGCTGAATTTTGTCCCTTGAGCTCTGAGGTCTTTTTTATTTCTAATTGTTTATTTTATCACATTTAACACACGTAGAGCTGTGGTGGGTAGGGGTTTAGTGGGAGGAGGGGTGGTGATGGATGCGGTTAACAGTAGTAGCAAGGAAGGTGACTCCCAGCCATTGGAACAGGCAGTGGATGAGAGTTCAACATCATTTTCGTCAGCATCAGTGCTGATGCCATGGCGTCCTAGGCAGCTTGCATTTGGTCCTTATTCGCCTTCTGTAAACACTGATACAAGGCCCCAATCTTTGAGAGTTGTTGTTAGAAGGCCTGTAAGTGATCTTTTTTTTTTTTTAAATTAATTTAATTTTCTGCATATTCAAATTATTTATTGTTGTTTCTAGATGAGCACGCCAGAACGTTAGCACTATAAATTACTAATAAGCACAACTACTTTGAAGTTTTTTTTACTAGTTTTAAGAGTTATTGCGTTCATATTGCATGTCCTGTGTTTGTATACAGTGTTCATTTGTTGTTCTTCCTTCCTTCTCAATGAGATTTTGATTTACTGAAAATAATTTAAGAGGCCTTAAAATGTTACCGCATTGAACTGTTGTTGGTTCTTATTCCGTTAACATTTTCTCTCTATTATTGAGACTGTTATGTTCAAGTGTTTTCATTTGGACAAAAGATTGTAAACGTGAGATCCTTGTATCTAATTTGTAAGTCATATTTTCATGTATAATTCATATGTATATATTTCCGTTATCTCTAGTACAATCAGCTTTATTTGAAAATCTTGCATTCCTTACAAAATCAAGGTGTTTCTGGCTTCTCGTAAAAAGAATGACGCTTGTGTCTAAAGGAGATATCGCTATCTTTTCCATTCCCTTCATAGTATCTGTTATGTAGAAACAAAATGTTGCATTACTAATAGAATAAGATATTTCATTGGCTAGTGGACCATACATCATAGAGATATGCTTGTCGTGTCTAAAGGAGATGTCATTTCTTTTTTCCTTTACCCTTCAATATATGTTTTAATCCATTTGTTTCACAGCGTGACGCTGACATTGCTAGATATTTATAGTTTAAGCTTGTATTGGAAGTGGTTTTGATTGTTTAGCCCAAGGAGCTGTAATGTATTATTGATAATCCGACTAGGTTTGATCTAGGTAAGATGGGGGTGTTGGTGCAAAAATTGGTGTTTTCGCTTTCTTTTGGGTGATTTGGACAAAAAGAAATTGGATTTCCCAAGGGAAGGAGAAAAGTAGTTAATTTATGTGAAGAGGCATTTTTTTCAGGATCTATATGAGTTTCTATTGTTAAGGAGTTCAAGGGTTTTTCCTTTTATTTTAGTCATTCTAGAGTGGAAAGACATGTTTTGTTCTTGGCTTCTCTTTATCGTTTTGTTAATAAAGGATCGTCCTCTTGATGGAATGTAATTTTGTACTTGAATAATACACAAATAATTAAAGACATGTTGTGTTCTTGGCTTCTCGTCATCATTTTGCTACTAAAGGATTGTTCTCTTGATGGAATGTAATTTTGTACTTGAATAATAAACAATTAATTTTTTTTCTTGTAGAAAATGATGGTTCTTGTTCACGAACAATCACAGTCTTCACCGAGGTTACGTTTGGTGGCGTGATTTAGACCCTTGCAATTTGAATATTGTCAAAGACAAACTCAAATATGAAGTCAAGCTAGTATATTTCGAAGTTCTTATCGTGATCAATGTAGAGATTTAGCAGTGCAAAGTAGAATTTCATGTTTCTTTATTCGTTTTAGAATAGACCTTCTCTTCCTCCAGTTTTCCTATACTGCTCTCTATGTGAAGTAACATCCCAAAGTTAAAACGCCATCCCACCATTCTGCTTCTCAATAGACATTTGGGTGTTAAAGAAACTGACATCCAGTGGGAGGAAAAAAAAAAGAAAAAAGAAAAAGAAAAAGATAAACTTTTGAAATATGGGATTCAAATACTGATATTGTGCTGTCATTTTTTTAGTAGAGTTGATCATTATGACAATTTGAGATTGTGTAGTGATTTCCCTAACCCCTGCAAGGGAAAAATGCTCCTTTTCTCCTTGTCTTCTTATTTTCTTCACCTTCCTATTGGTTCTATGTTTCTTTTAGAATTTCAAAGTTTCTACTCCGTAGTTCATAACTTTTCTTCTTTATGAATAATAAAAGGCCCTAAGGTTGTCCTGCACATTAAAGTTGATTGACCTTGATCTCAATGAGTTAGATAGTCTGACGAGCGTTTAATATTTTTAGTAGTTAATGAAGACTTGTTCAGTTGGAGATGGCAGCTGATAAAGTGGAATTTAAAAAAAAAAAAAAAAAAAAACTATTTAGGTACGTAGCTGACTCCTGTAAGATGAAATAAGAGTGAACAAAGATTTAGCACTAAACAAGTTTGCAAGGATAGTCTGCATAAGCTGTGGTCTTGACCTTATTCAATTGTCGAAGCTCTGAGTGGATAAAAGATTTATGTTTTTATTACTTTCATAGCCTAATAATAGCATGTAGAAGCTGTTGCAGACATCCGTGTACTGTTCAGCAAATAAAAATACAGTTGTGCTATAATCTTCAGTGATTCTGTATGTTTCATAAATGTAAAACGTGATTTCATAGACAGACTAGAGTTTTGAAATCTCACAGGTCTTTGTTTCAGCTCTTTTAATTATGATTTTGTAATATGAATTGAAAAATAAATATTATTGTCTCATTCTATTTATAATTCCTTTTTGGTTTATTTCCTCTATTAACTTACTGTGCTCTGACTCAAATTTGTTATCTTCCAACTGTATCACAGCTTTTAGTTGGATCAAATTCTCAGAGACAAGTGTATATTGTGGAAATATTTTGTCATAAAATGAAAAATTACTCCTTAAGAATTTTGTGGCTTTTCAATTTTATGGCATCTGATTTGTATCCTGAAAATTTTTTCCATTCAATAGAAAAAATGTTTATGCAAATCTGTTTCTACTCTTATTTCCTTATTTCGCATTTGTACCAGTTATGCTTGGTAATTGGTAAAGTAACGCAGTAGATTTGAGTAGGGAGAACAAGTGGTGGTATCAACAAATTCAATGGAGTCAATGAAGTCTATTTATTAATTATCTTTTACTTTGGTCGAAAAGATATTTGATTGTTGATGAGTGAGTGGATTGCTGAATGAATGTATTTTGGTAAATACATAATATGGTCTTAATTGCTAGTGTGTAGAAATATTTGATAGCCACAAGTACAGCAGATGGTACAACTTATTTGACATGCCAGTTTTCTGAACCCGGATACTCTGTGAAATGAAAATTTGAACTAGTGGATCCCCTCCTTGACATGTTTATTTTCATATTGCAGTTGGTGGCACGATTGACTAAGGACATTGTTGAGATATATCAAATATGCAACCCTCAATTTGGTTATTCAGAAGAATTTATTCCGAAGAGGTTCCTGACGTCTCCATCCACTGGGGTGTTGAATGATGGCTGTGATAATGCGAACTCAGACCTGATTCTTACTGTAAATTTACCGTTGGTTAATTTAGAGACACAGCGAAGGTTGATTTTGTTTAATTACTCTCCTTTTATTGATTATAGCATACTTCACGTCTTCTTCATATTAATTTGGTAGGAAAATGTTTCTTATCACTGGTGATCATGAGAGTATGATGAGGGATGTGTCATTGTCATAAACAGCCAGTTGGGGATGGGAAATGCATTACTTAATGGTTGCTAATTATAGATGTAATAATTATAAAGAGAGGTAGATCTCCTAAATACAGACTTCTTTCATGTTCTTTATCTTTTGTGTTTCAGCTTGGATATCCAAAATGGTGCTTAGACTCTGGTGCCAGTGTCAAATACACTATCTTAATTTGGACACTTGGATTATTATAGAGGATCATATCCTTTATGAATAGGACAAAAATGAGTGCATTTCTTTTTTGAGGTATAGTAAATATTAATTATACAATGAAAAAGTTTGACAGGAGACATGTCTTGTTATTTCCTTGGTAAATTGTACTTTTGCCAACTGCTTCAGAATTGTATCATATGTAGGAGAGTGACATCCGACTTGGAATGTTCACATGTCAAGGTTTGTGTTGTAGACAGGGACAACATGGTGACAGAAGAGTAGGAGCGACCTAGGTTATTTGTTATGCACGTGCAGGATGGAATGCTTTCACATAAATGGAAATATCTGTAACCACTGCCTTTTTTGCCATGGAATGGAGACTATATGAAACGAACTATTGCCTTCTAAGTAAAGGACCAAATATGATTGAGTCAAGATAGGAAGGTGAGAAATATATTTTTGTTCACAAATCTAATAAGCTATAGGGTTTAGGTTGGTTTGAACTTCTGGTATGTGTTTCTGTCTCTTCTTGAGAGTAGGCTGATATATTGTAGTTGAATTTGGGGATGCTGTTGCGCATATTTGTCTAGGAACTTCAGGATCTAAGTTTTGGTGGCACAAATTGAATGATTGTTTGATTGATTGGTGTAACTGAATATTTGGGTTGAGATGTGAATGCACAAGATTTGCTGATATAAGAGGCTAGCAAGCCCCGAAGGAGAGGCTGGCTGACCCGAATGAAGATATACGATAACCTTGAGTAGAATTTTTATTAGGTGGCAACTATCTTGCTACTTGAAGAATTACGGGGAATTGTCTTCTTGGATTTGTTCTGTTGTGGAAATTCTGGAAATTGTCTTTTATTTTATTGACGTGTTCTTTTGGTGAACAACTATAAATGTCGGCGTGGAGGACCCTTTTTTGAATGATAATGACCCTCGAAGAATTCAGTTTGCCATAGCAGGTGGGGTAAGATTTTGGGAAAAAAGGAAAATAAGGATTCAAAATGGTTGATCTCGCTTGATTGAGAAATAAGTGAGTTCCCTTTCTGTGATGTAGATAACTGCTGAAGGGTGATTTTCTAACACACCCTAGTAGTACAAGTTATTTATGTGATCTCTGGTTTTCTGAAGTTGCATCCCGTAAGCTTTATCAGACCTGCTATTTTGTTATTATGCTTGATGGATAAATACTCTCAGAAGGAATTGAGTTCGCAGATGACAAACAGACTGGGAGCTTCTAGTGTAACCAAATCTTTGTTTAAAAATACTTGCGAGGACAGATCTTTCACAGATAGAGAATGACTTAAGGTCCTAGCGTACAAGGTATAAAGGAATTAGAAAGACTTCCAATCAATTTGCCTTATTTGCATTGATTAAAAATTGAAGAGAGTTTCTTCTCTCATTTGCTTCTCCACTTCAGGTACATATATTCTGAATCTTCTAAATGGGGAGCTTCACGAGAGAATTGCTTTAGAGTGTCTTGGCACCATTCTTGTTTCTTTAATGGAGTGAGTGTTAAAGAATTAATTTAATACTTTTTGGTGACCTAGATATTCATTTTGGAGCTTAAAGAATCCTAGTTTTTGTTGTTCTTTTTATTCAAGTTTTTGGAATCAGTGTGATTGTTTGCTGGTTGTGCAATTAAGTATTTATTTTATTATAAAATAAATTTTATGTTGTGATACTAGTACTCTTTGTTGCCCTCGTTTTTGGGTAGAGAGATCAGGGAGAGGAAGGAAGTTGGAAATCTTAACATGCTTATTTCCTCTATGTTTGTGTTAAAGACGTGTTCTTTATTGACCTTCTACCCTTGTAGGATCTTCGTATCGTATATAATTTTTCTAAAATTTCGATTGCATCGAACCCATTCAATCATATACATTCCATTCTCATATTGTCTTCCTTCCACTCTTTACAGCTAAAAGATTAAAGAAAATATATGTTCTCCTACACTTTAGTATTTCTTCTTCAAATGTTACTTTTTCTTGTCTTCCTTCCCTTCTTTGGAAAATTTACAACGTTTCCGTTCAATGCATTTTTCTTTTTTCCAGATACATTATCAAGGATATGCTTGGCCATGGAACATTTGGGCAGGTTGCTAAGTGCTGGGTTGCTGAAACAAATAGCTTTGTTGCTGTTAAAATAATTAAGAATCTACCTGCTTACTATCAGCAAGCACTTGTTGAAGTTTCAATTTTAACAACAGTAAGGCCTGCTTCAGCTGGATTGTCATGTTCTTTGATTTGAATCACTACTGTATTTTCTTCAGTTATTTGTTTTTCCCTAGTTAAATAAGAAGTTTGATCCCGAAGATAAGAACCATATTGTTCGAATATATGATTATTTTGTGCATCAACGACACTTGTGCATCGCTTTTGAGCTGCTTGACACCAATCTGTAAGTTGTTTAAGTAGTAATAACTTTTCATATAAAATTATTTATATTTTTTGGGGTTGCATATTGTAACCATGCTTTCATTAATTGATATTTTCTCATTAGGTATGAGCTTATAAAGTTAAATCATTTTAGGGGACTGTCATTGAGCATTGTGCAGCTATTCTCAAAACAGGTTATTCATTGTTTTTTGCTTCAGATTATTGTTGTTTTAAGATAGGTGTTCCCTTCAATGGTCATGTATATTTGTAAGTGTTATAAAATGCTTTCTCCTCCATGTTCTAGATATTGCGTGGACTGGCTCTGATGAAAGATGCTGGCATAATTCATTGTGATTTAAAACCGGAAAACATTCTTTTATGTACAAGGTTAGCTACTCTGATGACCTTGGACAGTTAGACCTGGTATTTTGCATCTTGTTCTCTTTATTTGTAATAATTATTCCATAAATTGACAGTGTAAAGCCGGCAGAAATCAAGATTATAGACTTTGGATCAGCATGTATGGAAGATCGTACAGTTTATTCTTATATTCAGGTAACATACTGGTTTTGAATAAGACTTCAACTTTTTAATCTTTATATTGTTGATATGTTATCAATGATAAAGTTTCTTTGCAGAGTCGCTACTATAGATCTCCTGAGGTTCTTCTTGGATATCAGTATCCTTAAAATATTCGGTCAAGTATATATTTCTCTCTTTAAGCCCTTGATATTCCTGGATTGTTGCCACTCAGTGGGGTTAAACTACATGCATCCAGAAACTTTACTTCTGCACTCCCTTTAGTTTTTCTGGTGGTGCAGGGGTTATAATTACTCAAAACATGTTCTATGTTGTATATCATGCTTTGAGACTTTAACATAGCGCAGATATACTACGGCGATTGACATGTGGTCATTTGGGTGCATAGTCGCGGAATTGTTTCTAGGGCTTCCATTGTTCCCAGGAGCTTCGGAGTTTGATCTTCTAAGGAGAAAAAAAAAATAAATTATAAATGAGATTTCAAATTAAATTTAAAAATATATTTTTTAAACTTATTTAGAGCTTATTTGCATAAATTCTTTAAGAATAGATTTATTTTTTATTTTTTGAAAATATGTAGTTAAAAGGTAAAAATGAGACTACGTATAAAATTATTTTATTAAAAGAATATACATTAAAATCGAGTTTGAAAAAAAAGAGAGTTTTAAATAAAAAATGGGCTTAGTCAATGAGTTACATTCATATACTTTAAATTTTAGAACTACATGTTTTGATACAAGATTTAACATGTATCAATAAAATTGATGTATAATTGAAATGTCGTGGATTCATAAAATATTTTTTTAGAATCACATTTGAGCGGTTAAAACTTGACACAAAATTTTAGCAAATTTTATCAAATATGCATTTTTTTTTTTAGCTCTATCGTAAAATTTTTACTATTTATAATAAAAAAAATAAAATAAAGTTAGAGTTAAAAGGGAACAATTTGGAACATTTGAGCTGAATGCCCTTTTTCCCCTCACTGAACTGCACTTCTATTCTTAAAGACTTGTAATTATTTAACTATATGGATACAACAACGACGGAAAAAATATTTTAGGAGCAATTTGAAATATCAATTGAACCTTTAGTGACCAAAATTGGTACTTTTATTCTTTATCTCTAACAGTAAAATAATTCTACTTAGCAAACCTAAAGCTGATTTACAGCATATCCTCTAATATTATTTTAATTTTAACTTGTAAGAGGTGAAAAAAATCTGAAATCGCCTTCTCGAAGAAGCAACAGTGGCTGTTGAAATCTCTGTTTTTCTCTCACATTTTTCAATCTACGTTTATCGACTTCTGATTAGTAGCAGCAGGGATTGTGATACCGAGCCATTGCCCTATTCAGAATTTGATCTTTGTCTTCTTCTTTTCTCTGAATCTTTTTGTTTGTTTTCTATTTTTTTTTAATTGTTCGTATTGGAGAGCAGATAATCGGTTGTTTTATACGGCATCGTTCATCACGGCGGTATTTATGTAGGAAAACTCGAAATTATCCTTTTGATGTATCTGATTATGTCAAAGTTCGTTTCTTTTTGTGAGTTCTGAGTGGGTGAAGAGATGGGACTGCAATCTTCTGGTAAATTCATTGAATTTTCCGGAGGATTCTACCATCTCTGCTAGCGGCAATCCAATTGCTGAATTTTGTCCCTTGAGCTCTGAGGTCTTTTTTATTTCTAATTGTTTATTTTATCACATTTAACACACGTAGAGCTGTGGTGGGTAGGGGTTTAGTGGGAGGAGGGGTGGTGATGGATGCGGTTAACAGTAGTAGCAAGGAAGGTGACTCCCAGCCATTGGAACAGGCAGTGGATGAGAGTTCAACATCATTTTCGTCAGCATCAGTGCTGATGCCATGGCGTCCTAGGCAGCTTGCATTTGGTCCTTATTCGCCTTCTGTAAACACTGATACAAGGCCCCAATCTTTGAGAGTTGTTGTTAGAAGGCCTGTAAGTGATCTTTTTTTTTTTTTAAATTAATTTAATTTTCTGCATATTCAAATTATTTATTGTTGTTTCTAGATGAGCACGCCAGAACGTTAGCACTATAAATTACTAATAAGCACAACTACTTTGAAGTTGGCATGAGTAACCATGTGATTGACAAAGTATACCTAAAGTGCTATAGTATTTCACAAAAAATTTAATCGAAGCATTTGAGTAGTTTTAACTAAATACCAAAAACTCATAAGCCACATATCAGACTGAAAATGGTACAATTAAGCCCAGGGAAAGTTTCTTATCTTACAACAAATTCAAATTTGTATCATGAATTCTCTCAATTTATAAAATATCATTAACCAAATATAAATTGAAACTTCACATAAACGGTCATTAAGAGAAGAAAGACTTACTTTCAGAATGAGGAAAGGATTCAAGATCACGCATTTTAACTCTTCTGTAAGAAATTGCAGTCATTTCTTCATCTACCACAATACCTCTTTTCTGCCGACCATTGCCTAAATATCAAAACCAAGAACATCATCAATTAAAACAAAAAAGAGAGGAAAAACTAAACATTATTTATTAAACCCTCACTTTTGATTCAGATTTGGACATTGCCACAGATTGATTCTTAAACTCACATTCACTCTCAATAAATGCTCAAGAAAATTGACAAAAACTCTGAATTAAAATTTCAAGATAGTCAACCTGGACCTTTAAACAAAACCCAAAAAATTCAAATTCAAAACGGAATATTTAAATCCCTGATCAAGAAAAGATTTGAAAGCAAAATGTGGGTCTTTGAAACACAAAAAAATTAATGTTGCTTTGGTGGATTATAAAGGTGTACACATAAAAGAATACCAATTCATCTCTCGGAGACTTTAAGACTCGTCAATATTTTTTCTTTCATTTTTCTTTTTGAGAATAGGGAGACAATAAAAAGAAACAAAGAAAAAAGTTATTATAAAATTTTTAAATTAAATTGAAATAATTAAAATTAAATATAAATATTATTTAATTAAAATTGAAAAAAATTGCATATTTTAAAGTTTTTATGATGATCAGTGTAGGGATTTAGCAATGCAAAGTAGAATTTCACGTTTCTTTATTCCTTTTAGAATATACCTTCTCTTCCTCCAGTTTTCCTATACTGCTCTCTATGTGAAGTAACATCCCAAAGTTAAAACGCCATCCCACCATTCTGCTTCTCAATAGACATTTGGGTGTTAAAGAAACTGACATCCAGTGGGAGGAAAAAAAAAAAAAAAAGAAAAAGAAAAAGAAAAAGATAAACTTTTGAAATATGGGATTCAAATACTGATATTGTGCTGTCATTTTTTTAGTAGAGTTGATCATTATGACAATTTGAGATTGTGTAGTGATTTCCCTAACCCCTGCAAGGGAAAAATGCTCCTTTTCTCCTTGTCTTCTTATTTTCTTCACCTTCCTATTGGTTCTATGTTTCTTTTAGAATTTCAAAGTTTCTACTCCGTAGTTCATAACTTTTCTTCTTTATGAATAATAAAAGGCCCTAAGGTTGTCCTGCACATTAAAGTTGATTGACCTTGATCTCAATGAGTTAGATAGTCTGACGAGCGTTTAATATTTTTAGTAGTTAATGAAGACTTGTTCAGTTGGAGATGGCAGCTGATAAAGTGGAATTTAAAAAAAAAAAAAAAAAAAAATCTATTTAGGTACGTAGCTGACTCCTGTAAGATGAAATAAGAGTGAACAAAGATTTAGCACTAAACAAGTTTGCAAGGATAGTCTGCATAAGCTGTGGTCTTGACCTTATTCAATTGTCGAAGCTCTGAGTGGATAAAGATTTATGTTTTTATTACTTTCATAGCCTAATAATAGCATGTAGAAGCTGTTGCAGACATCCGTGTACTGTTCAGCAAATAAAAATACAGTTGTGCTATAATCTTCAGTGATTCTGTATGTTTCATAAATGTAAAACGTGATTTCATAGACAGACTAGAGTTTTGAAATCTCACAGGTCTTTGTTTCAGCTCTTTTAATTATGATTTTGTAATATGAATTGAAAAATAAATATTATTGTCTCATTCTATTTATAATTCCTTTTTGGTTTATTTCCTCTATTAACTTACTGTGCTCTGACTCAAATTTGTTATCTTCCAACTGTATCACAGCTTTTAGTTGGATCAAATTCTCAGAGACAAGTGTATATTGTGGAAATATTTTGTCATAAAATGAAAAATTACTCCTTAAGAATTTTGTGGCTTTTCAATTTTATGGCATCTGATTTGTATCCTGAAAATTTTTTCCATTCAATAGAAAAAATGTTTATGCAAATCTGTTTCTACTCTTATTTCCTTATTTCGCATTTGTACCAGTTATGCTTGGTAATTGGTAAAGTAACGCAGTAGATTTGAGTAGGGAGAACAAGTGGTGGTATCAACAAATTCAATGGAGTCAATGAAGTCTATTTATTAATTATCTTTTACTTTGGTCGAAAAGATATTTGATTGTTGATGAGTGAGTGGATTGCTGAATGAATGTATTTTGGTAAATACATAATATGGTCTTAATTGCTAGTGTGTAGAAATATTTGATAGCCACAAGTACAGCAGATGGTACAACTTATTTGACATGCCAGTTTTCTGAACCCGGATACTCTGTGAAATGAAAATTTGAACTAGTGGATCCCCTCCTTGACATGTTTATTTTCATATTGCAGTTGGTGGCACGATTGACTAAGGACATTGTTGAGATATATCAAATATGCAACCCTCAATTTGGTTATTCAGAAGAATTTATTCCGAAGAGGTTCCTGACGTCTCCATCCACTGGGGTGTTGAATGATGGCTGTGATAATGCGAACTCAGACCTGATTCTTACTGTAAATTTACCGTTGGTTAATTTAGAGACACAGCGAAGGTTGATTTTGTTTAATTACTGTCCTTTTATTGATTATAGCATACTTCACGTCTTCTTCATATTAATTTGGTAGGAAAATGTTTCTTATCACTGGTGATCATGAGAGTATGATGAGGGATGTGTCATTGTCATAAACAGCCAGTTGGGGATGGGAAATGCATTACTTAATGGTTGCTAATTATAGATGTAATAATTATAAAGAGAGGTAGATCTCCTAAATACAGACTTCTTTCATGTTCTTTATCTTTTGTGTTTCAGCTTGGATATCCAAAATGGTGCTTAGACTCTGGTGCCAGTGTCAAATACACTATCTTAATTTGGACACTTGGATTATTATAGAGGATCATATCCTTTATGAATAGGACAAAAATGAGTGCATTTCTTTTTTGAGGTATCGTAAATATTAATTATACAATGAAAAAGTTTGACAGGAGACATGTCTTGTTATTTCCTTGGTAAATTGTACTTTTGCCAACTGCTTCAGAATTGTATCATATGTAGGAGAGTGACATCCGACTTGGAATGTTCACATGTCAAGGTTTGTGTTGTAGACAGGGACAACATGGTGACAGAAGAGTAGGAGCGACCTAGGTTATTTGTTATGCACGTG